ACCTTCGTCATCTACGCTGCTAACCTTTTGACGCCCGAGGATCACGCCGGACATCGCGTCGTCGACGCCAACGAAAGTGCCGAGATATTATGCGAAAATTATATATTCTTACCATCGCCGCTAAAATTAATATATATATATATATATACAAATATATTAATATTAAATAATATTCATTTATATATCCCTACAGCCGACACCGCAGCCGCCGTATATACCTCGTGTATAACGTTCCCCCCGGCACGCCCGCCCACAAAACTCGGCTATACCTCGTGCATGATACGTGTATATATATATATTTTAATTACTATTAAAATATATATATATATACGCTTTATTCTCATTAAGAGATATATAGTGTATTTATTCCGATTACGGGGAATGATTGCCGTATTGTCATTTTTTGTCACTACCTCCACGTTGCGCGCTTGCTGCTTTCCATGGATGTGGTAGCCGTTTNCGCTTGCTGCTTTCCTTGGATGTGGTAGCCGTTTCTCAAACTCCCACTCCGGAATCCAACTCTGATTCCCCTTAACCCGTTACAACCATGATATTGGTAGTAACTACTATCATAACATGTAACTAAAAAGTAAAAATATATATAGTTGAAAAAAACACGCTTTTAAAGCACATCAAACTAAAAATTATTTTTAACTTTTTAGTTCGATGTTCTTTAAAAGCATGTTTTTTAGTTTTTTTAAACTATATTTTTAATAACTGATACGTTATAACTATATACAGTTGCTTAACAGAAAACTTCATAAATTTTTTTTTAAATTCATTTACATCTCTAACACATAATTATAAGACTTTATAATATATATCATATAAAAAGTTATTTTAGGCACTATCATTAAAAATTAAAAAATATTTTAGTGCTTTAATTTAATATATACCAAAAGGGAAAATATATGCAACAAAAATGTNTGCTTTAATTTAATATATACCAAAAGGGAAAAGATATGCAACAAAAATGTCAACTTTTATTTCAAGAAATTTTTTGCAATTTTAGTATAATAATTTACGAAATTTATACTTTTGCCATTCAAATTATAATTAATATTAAACATACATCAATTTTTTTTAAATTTGAAAAAAATTGTATTAAGAATTGAGGGCAACGGCCAAGTCTTAATTATAGTATACATATTTATTTTTGATATCCAATACATTTTTCCCAAATCTACTCACATACTTATTATACAGAATATTTTTACTGAGGCTTCCCAAACATACAATGGAAATTATTTAGTGACTTAAAAAACTTATATATCCATATAATTCATAAAAAATGTTACCCTTTTGTACTTCTAAATAAATAAGAGTTTTAAAACATATTTTATTTTAAATGAGTGACCTCTAAAACAAAAGGATTGGAAAATGTCAAGATTTTTTTGTCTTAAATCAGGAAATATAAGATATAA